CTATTTAATAAATGGTGCTGGGAAAATTGGACTGACACATGCAAAAAAAAAATAAAACTGGACCACCTACTTACGCCATATACAAGAACAAATTCAAAATGGATTAAAGACTTAAATGTAAGACCTGAAACCATGAAACACCTAGAAGAAAATATAGGGAGTAAATTTGCAGACATTACCCTGAGTAATATTTTTACTGATATATCCCCTCGGGCAAGGGAAGTAAAAGAACAAATTAACATATGGAGTTACATCAAACTTAAAAGTTTTTCATAGCAAAGGAAACCATCAATAAAACAAAAAGGAAGCCTACTGAATGGGAGAAGATATTTGTCAACGATATATCTGATAAGAGGTTAATATGCAAAATTTATAAAACACTTATGCAACTCAAAACCAAAAAACAACCCAATTAAAAAATGGGCAGAGAATATGAAGAGACATTCCTTTAAAGAGGACATAGAGATGGCCAACAGACATATGAAGAAATGTTCAACCTCACTAATCATTAAAGAAATGCAAGTAAAAACCACAATGAGATACCACCTCACTCTGGTCAGAATGGCTATCAATAAATCAACAAACAACAACTGCTGGTGAGGTTGTGGAGAAAAGGGAACCCTGGTGCACTGTTGGTGGGACTGCAGATTGGTGCAGCCACAGTATGGTGCATACCTCAGTATGGAGATATCTCAAAAAACTGGAAATGGAACTACCTTATGACCCAGTAATTCCACTCTTAGGTATCTATCCAGAGAAACCCAAGATGCTAATTTGAAAATATATATGCACCCCTATGTTTATTGCAGCACTGTTTACAATAGTCAAGACTTAGAAACAACCGAAATGCCCATCGGTAGACGACTGGATTAAAAAACTGTGGTACAGTTATACAATGGAGTATTACTCCGCTATAAAGAAGAATGAAACCTTACCATTTGCAACAATAGAGAAAATTATGCTAAGTGAAATAAGTCAGTCAGAGAAAGACAAATACCATATGATTTCACTTATATGTGGAATCCAAAGAACTGAATAAATGAGCAAAGTAAACAGATATAGTCTCAGATACAGAGGAAAAACTGATGGTTGCTAGTTGGGAGGGGGTGGGGACAAAGGAGAAGGGGAGGGGATTAGACAGCATAAATAGGTAACTACAATATCGTCCCAGGGATATGAGACAATTTGGGGAATATAATCAATAATGTTGTAAATATTTTGTAGGGTGTCAGATGGTCACATGTCTTATTAGGGAGACCACTTCATGGACAGTGTAGATGCCTTAACCCTGCACTGTACACCTGAAGCTGAAGCTGAATCATATTGTATGATTGTATGTCAACTATAATTAAGTATATATATATATATATATTATATATACGTATATATATAATATATATATACATATATATAGTCATGGGACATGGAGTATGGAGTATAGTATAGGGAATTGAGTCAATGGAATTGTAATAAATATATATGACATCAGAGGGGCAATAGATTAGGGGAGGGGAGTTATCCCTTTGTGTAGGGTGAAATGTATAACTCACATTGTTTTGTACACCTGAAACTAATAAAAAGTAAAATAAAATTTAAAAAAACAAAGAAAAACTCCACTTTCCAGTTATCTCTGCCTTCATTTTAGAAAGACGATCAGAGGGAAAAGGCATCCAGCCAAAGCTCCTGGGCCTGGGGCCCCACAACTGAAAGTGAGGTCTCAGAGCTCCTGAGTGAGGCGTTGGCCTCCTCTGCTGGGCCCCAGAGCACTTCCAGCCTGAGGCCAGCATCTGAGGAACCTACAGCCAGCACGGTGAGCTTGACTTACTCGGAAGATTTCAACAGATCCCCAAGTCCGACAGCATCAGAGCCAGTCTCCCATTCTGAGGAGTCTCCAGACAGGACACTAGCCACTTTGTCTGAACTCTCTGCAAGCCTGAAGATAGACCATCCCCCACCAACATGCATGTCTCGGAAAAAACGGTCCAGGGATGCTAGAAGAGTCATGGTGAAGGAGACGGCCGCGCAGACCCTCGATCCCGCCTTTACCTACCAGTGGACGAAGGGTAAGCATGTGGCTTCAGGGCCCGAGGGGGGAGGCGCAGGCCATGGCAGCAGTGATAGGCACTCAGGCTGTGCTCTGCAGCCGTCCTTGCAGTGTGATGAGGAGCCCCAGAGTCCATCATTAAGCAGCTGGGAGGCACCTCGGCGCCCCAGTTTCCTTTTCCATAGATGAGGGACAGCGGCCGTGGGTGTTTCCCACTGTCTTCCGAGCTCTCAGACATTCTGAAAGGTTCCAGAAGCAAAGACTAAGGCTGTGGTTCTCAGCTGGGGTAATTCTGGCCCTGGGGACATTGGCAAGGTCTGGAG